GTGGGTCTGGGGCCTCTGTTTTTCTTCTTCCCCTTCGAGTGGAGGTTGTGCAGCTGGGGGCATCTCCTAGGCAGGAGGGTGATGGGAGCAGCCAGGTGCTGGGCAGTCAAGACCTGCTGCCGGTGATAGGGCACCCAGTGATTTCTCTGGGGCAACAGTGCAGCCCCAATGGGGGGGAAGGGAGAGAGGCCACCTGCGTACCCCACAATGAGTGTGGAAACTGAGGCACAGAGACAGGAGAGGCCTGTGGAGAGGGTTTGTTGGTATATGTCTTCGTATATGGTGCCTCCTACTTTAGAAGTGGTGTGAGCTTGCGTCCTTCCGCTCAGTCACTTTTACCCCCAAACAACCCTGGGGGGTGAGTTGAATGGTGAGAATAGGATGAATCTTTGTTTTGGAGGTAAGTGAACTGAGCTCTGTTCACGGCGAAGTGACTGACAGGAGGAGGACACCCTCCCCAGTGGTAGCTAGTATGAGATGATGCTAGACTCTGCCAGGAGGGCATTGGCACAGGAGGGCAGCGGGGAGATGGAGAGGGAGCCTCGGGCAGGGGACAGCTTCGGAGATAAAAGGAGGGGAGAGGAGTCTGCTGGGGAGGGCGCAGTTTCCGCATCTGCTGTGATGGGTTCTCTCTGAATGGGCAAACCCAGAAGGACCTTCTTTGGTCTCCCTTCCCTCCCAGGCACAGGTCAAGGCCAGGCCTGGGGGAGGAGGCTAATCGGTACCAGGGTCCACAGTGCTTGGTATTAAAATTCACTTGGTGGAGGGGGGTGGCAGTTGTAGGGCTCAGAAGGCTTCTGCTGCCCTGGCCTGCAAACCCAGAGTCTAGGTGTGCTGGGCAGCCTGGCTGCAGTTTCTGCTCTCAAAGAGCCAGCAGGGAAGTGGGCAGAAGGGAGGGGAAGAGAGAAGGGAGAGGGAAAGGAAGTGTAGCGTCAGATGGTGAGTGAGTTGGAAGGTGCCCTGGGTTATGCAGGAACCTTGCCTGGGGAACAAAGACCACTGAGGAGTGATGGAGGGAGGGAGCCATGCCCCTCACACTCAGCCAGACATCCACCCCCCAATTAGGAGAGTGTACAGCCATGGAGCGTGTGACACTTTGCATTTCTGGGACAAGGAGGCTCAGAGGGAAGCAGAGATTTTCCGGGAGGCCAACACTGCCCTCTGCTCCTACCCTCTCTGCCTCTGGGTCACTTTATTTCCTATTCCTCAGGGATAGACACAGCAGGGGGACCTGGGCTTCTTGCCTGGGTCACGGTCTGGCCACTGCTGAGACCAAATCCACACTAACCCCCCTCACTTTCCTCCTACAAGCCCATTCAGGCTGTTGCCTCTCCTCAGGTGCCTAACCCTGCAGATCACCCTGTTGCAGGCCTAGCAGGGTTTATCTCAAATAACCTGATGAGATTTACAGAGCTGTTTTTCCAGTGTCCCCACTGTGAGGCTCAGCCCTGAAGCCAAGCCCAACTTTGTCGGGAAGACTGGAAGTTTCAGGCCACAGACTGGATCAGAACCAGGAGCTCTGGCGACTGGCACCCAAAGCCTGGCTTGGAGAGTCTTCACGGTGTAGAAGCCACAATTCCTTAACCGGTGCTGGGCTGGGAACAAGTTGTTCCAAGGTAGGGACAACTTGGAAGCAGGAACCCCAGTTGTTTCCTGGAAAATGGGGCTGGATTGCCCCAGGGCAGCCACCTCTCACAGCGCCCCTTGCAAGCACCCACAGGGTCTTCTGGCTTCGTTCCTAACCACTGATGGTGAACATCATCCACTCTTCATCTCCATGTCATTTATGCTTTAGGTTGGTACAGGGCTTTCTAGTTTACAAAGCACTGTCGGAGCTCTTCTGGTTCTTACAGCCACCCTGGAGAAGCATTATTTTCCCCACTTTATAGATGACAAAATTGAGTCTTGGAGAGAGAAATACAGCACTCCCCTTAGCCAGCTGGAAAGACACACACTTGAGGCTTGTGATGTCAAGTTCATCCTTTCTACTACCCCAAGAAATAATTACTGAGTACAAATAATTACTGAGTGTCTACTACTGTATTTCTTCGCTTCTAAGACACACTTTTTCCCCCTCTCATTTAACAACTGCGAAATCAGGCTGCATCTGTCTCACCAGCAATAGCATGCCGTCGTTTGTAATTGGCGGTGTTTTTGCTTCATTAATGGTCCCTAAAGTAATGTGGATCTTACAATGGATGTCATTTAGATTTGATGAAGTCTGGTGTGTGTATAACTCTTGTGTGTGTAGACATAGCTTCTGCCTGCCAGGAGTTTTCAGTTTAGAGGAAAGATCAGACAGTCCTCGCCATGAATATGAAACAGAATGTGATGTCAAGTGCTTGACCCAAACCAAGTCAAGTGCTATGGGAATTCTGCTGAGGGGTTTGAGAGAGACTTTAGGGAGGCTGGGTGGGATTTGCACCCTGAGCATCGTGCTTCTTGTGTATCAACCAGCCGATCTAAACAGTGTCCCCAAGCCCCTGTCAGGGTGTTGGTTCAAAACTTGGATGCTGGAGGCTGACAGTGTTTGTGTTGCTGATGCTGCCTGTTGATTTAGTTAACTCTCAGCCTCAGTTTCCACAACTTAGAGTGGGGATAATGAGTGACTCCTGGGTGGGCACCAGGATCAGATAAGAGAACGCAAGTGAAGTACTGAGACCAGGGGCTGGCACATACAGGGAGAACCCAATAAATGTCAGCTGCTCCCATCACGAAATCAATTCTAAAAGTTCAGCAGATGTAGAGTCGGCTACATTTGTTCATCAGCTGCTGCCCTCGTGTTAGGTGTGTTTACGTTTGTCACCTCATTTCATCTTCAGAAGCTCCGGGAGGTGGGGATCATGATCCCACCTTTACAGATGAAGAGAATGGGGCCCGAGGTCACAAAGCTGGCCAGAGGCCGGGCTGGGATTCAGATGCTGGTCTGTCTGACACCCATTCTGGTGCTGTTTTACTGGAGCACAGCTGCTGGCGAATAACCATAGGTGAGGAAGGAAACCCTGCTGATCCCAGTGGACTCACTTCAGGCGGGGTATTTTATAATCAAAATTATTACCGCTGGGTGTTCTTTATAGTGGGTTTTCTGGTGTAGAAGGAAGAGAGGTCTCATTCAGAGGCACAGGAGGCTAATTTGACAGAGGGGACATGTGCTCAGACCTGCACCTCCCCTCCGCATGTCCACTGCCTGCGGACAGTGGGCGGTTTTGCCTCCCCCAGAGCGGCTGTTTGTCTCCCTGGCCCTCATTCCTTCTTCTGTGCTTGGCTGTCCTCAGGGCTCACTCTCCTGACCTTCGGGCCCTCCCTGCTCCCCTGGAGAGGCCGCCAGTGTGTGGTCATGCTGCCGCTGCTGCTCATGACCCTGCCGGGGCTGTGGCCTCCTCACCCAGAGCCTCCTTCCTGCCCTCTGAGTTTAGGACAGGCAAACATGCTTATCTTCCCTCCCTACACTTTCCCCCCTCTTCCTCTCCATTCTCTCAACCTCATCCCCACCTAGAACACTTGTCTCTGCTATTAATAGGCTGTGTGACCTTAAGCAGGTCAGTTAACCTCTCTGAACTTCAATTCTCACCTCCTCCTGAACTAGATTATCTCAAGGGTCCAATGGGATGTTGTGGGCATGAGTCCTGGGCCTGCACGTTGACTCCTGCTCTCCCACGGTGGATCCTTAGATGCAGGACTCGATTTCCCTTTACCTCCGTGGCCTTATCTGCAAAATGGGGAGAGTAACCCCTTTCTGGAAAGTCCTTCCTTTGCGGGTCAGCCGTTGCCCACTCCTCCACGTGTCCATGCAGGTGTTGGCTTACCCCATTACTGTATTTACTTCTGTGATTGTCTTAGTCACTAGATGGAAGGCATTTCCTTACTTCAGTTCTTCACTCAGCAGGTATTTCTTGACACCAGTATACCAGTTGCTGAGGTTACAGATGAAGTGGGGGAAACAGATAAGAAATTACCGTACAGAGAGATGAGTGATTTAGTAGGGCACATGTAGGATGCTTTGGGAGTACCACCTGGAGGAAGGGTGGTGGCCAGGAAGGCTCCCTGGAGGAAGTGATCTCCAAGCTAAGGCCTAAAGGACAAGTAGGAGTCAACTAAATAACGGAGAGTAGATAGGAGGAGAGTGACTGAGGCTAAACTTCTCTGGGTCCCTAGCCCTGAGCCAGTGCCTGGCCCAGAGGGGATCCGTAAGTTCTTCGTCTCTCTCCTTCCTTGATGCTTCTGAATGCATTCCTGTGCAGAGGCCACTTCCTGGGCCCTGGGGTGCTGTGGCCAAGGGGGTTGTAGAAGTATTCTGGACAGGGCATGTCCTTGGGGGCTGGGCTGCAGGGTCGGATTGGGGTAGGGGCTCTGATACACGGCTCATTGGCTCTGAGTAGGATTCAGATGAGCCAGTAGTAGGTGCAGGAGGGAACAAGGAGGATGTTAAGGATGCAGGAGCCTTATCCTGGGTCCCTTTCTCCAGGGAGAGGAGAGACAGGCTCCTTAGGGACAGCGTAGTGAGGCCCCTTCATGGGCAGGGAGGCTGGTGAGCTTGACCACATCCCTTCTTGTAACATGATCTTTTATATCAGAAGTGTAAGAGCTGGAAGGGATGTGGCTAGCCTTCTCTGCAGCCAGGGTCCCCTCTAGCACCTGACTCCTCCAAATGTGAGAGGGGGCCCAGTTCACATCCTAGAACTCTGCCCCTCTCCTCCCCCTACCCCTTCTGACCTCCAGGGTCACTTCAGGCTCCCAGGGCCGGACCCATGCCAAAGCCTTCTCTGACCTCGATTGAGCTGTGCCCTCCCCCTGGGGACCTTTCCTGGCCTCTCTGGTCTCCCATGGATGCTGTTGGGGTTTCTGGAGCTCGAGCAAGCGCAGAATGGGGCTGGGCTGGAGAGAGGTGATGGGCTGTGTGTCTGGCAGCAGCTAAACTGGAGGAGGGAAGGATGGGCTTCCTGGGTGGGGCTGAGCAGGTGGTGGGGCCTGTCTTGGGGGCCAGGGCATGAAGAGCGAGCATGGAGGCAGGGCTGGGAGGAAGGAATGATGATCATCACAGTTGCTATTTACTGAGGGTATTTGTGCCTCGCCCTCCCTGGACGCATCCTACACACCACATCCTGTTCTACCACCACCTTGCAAAGTGCGTCAGAGCTCTCCATTTTACAGATATGGAAACTAAGGCCCAGAGCCTGAGTGACCAGCTCTCACAGTTTGTAATCAGCAGAGTCACGAGTTGAAACCTGGCCTGCTGTGCACTGAGTCTTGGGCTATTTCTACCACACCACACTGCTTTTTTTTGAGAGATTTAAAAATTCATTCCTTTCCTTCTGAGTCAAGGACATTGCCTCCCTCCCAAACGTGGAACGGGGCTGAGGGTCGTGAATGGATATTAAATGTGATGTGTTTCCAGTGTTGGAAAGTGACTTTGGGACCCAGGTGGGCCCTGGGCTGCACTCCGGGGCCTGGCTCCTCACTCTCCAAAGGGTTCTTGTGAAGGCCCTTGAGCACCTCTGGGGCTGGAGCGGTAGATGTGGTAGGAGTCTTCACAAGCCACTTGCTTTATTCATTTTTAATTTTTCTGGTGGGATAGCCACAGGGCATGAGGACGGCTCTCTTTTTTGAAGCACATTAAAATTTTTTTAAGCCAAAGTAATACATGCAGTGATTAAAAAAAAAAATCCAGGCTGTTCATGAAAGAAAGCAGTTTGCTATGCCTCTGCCCACTCCTACAGGCCCTACCTGCAAAGGAGCCGCTCTTACTCTTTTAGCTGTTTCCTCAAATCTTTGAGTAAGATGATTTGGGCTGTGTGAGGTCCATGGGAATGCCTTTAACGATGCAAGCACTTGCTTTTTTCTTTTACTTTGTTTTTATTCTGCTTACACATAAGGCTTCTCCATTCGCAGTTGGGAAAATTGAGGCCCCAACCAAGTGTGGAACCTGCCTTGAGTCCCACAACATATCAGGCATCAGGTCTCCTTCAGGCCTTGTGCTGTCGCTGGCATCTCGTGCCTCGGTCCTGCCCTCCTTCGCCAGCACTGCTGGGAAATCATTCAAGAGAAGGATAGAAGGGTAGGAATGCTTCCTGCACCCTGACTCTCCTCAGCCCCTGAATGGGTCTCCTCTTACAACCTGCTGGCATGGTGCCTCCCCCCTGGGAGGGACCCCTTACCCTTACAACATAAGATGTATAGCGGCTCCACCAGTCCTGGGCCCCCCAGAAAAACAGCAGTGGCAAAGGAGAGGTCAAAGGTCAGGGCTAGTCAATGTGGAATAACAGCTCCGGGCGGACACCCAAATCCTGCAGTTCCTTGTTTGATCTTAAGGAAGTTGTCCAACGTCAGCAGCAGCAGCTGGGGTGGTAGCAGCCACAGCTACAGTGGTGCTCAGACAGACACACGGGGCCCCCCGACTTGCAGGGGAAGGCAGTGGTGGAAGATGATGGATTTCTTAAGGAACCTTTTGGTGAGTGTCCCGGGGCTGTGGAGGAATGCCTGTCCAGGGCCCACTGCCTGGAGCTGCCTGGAGCGGGTGGATGGGGGAGGAGCCAGAGCCCCTCCTGCTGGCACCTGGCAGGGAGCCCCTGGTGGCTGTTGGCCTATCATGGGGCGTGGAAGCCACCTGTTGCTCAAGGGAAGGAGGAAACAGAGATCAGGGGCAGAGGGGACTGTGTGTGTGGAGGGGGACGCGGGAGGCCATGGGACAGTCAGGGGCCAGGGCCTTTCCTCCCTGGCTTGGAGACTGGGCAGAGCTCACCTCTGTGCCAGAGTCTGAGGGCACCCACAGCCAGCTGCAGGCTGTGCTGCAGGTGGGGGTGCCAGGGCGAGAGAGGGAGGGACTCTGGGGCTGTGCTGCAGGTGGGGGTGCCAGGGCAACAGAGGGAGGGACTCTGGGGCTGGGCTTCTGCCTGGCTGCAGACACTTGGAGCTGGCCAGGCCAATCCTGTGGGACACTCCCCCTCCCCTGTGTGCTGTGGTGCCTGGGATGGCCCTGGCAGGGGACTCTGCATCCTGTCACAGAGCCTCATAGCGTGTAGTTAGTGTGACACTTGGGAATGGTATGTGTGACGTTCCCAGCTGGCCTGGAGAGTCAACGTCCTTTCCTGCCAAGCCAGATTGTCCCTGGGGGCTCTGTGGGTCCCCTGTTTCAGCTCTGCCAGGCCCTCTGTGCCCCTCTTGGTGAACATGGGGGCCCTGGCTGACTGGGCCAGGTGGGGACTGCTAGGCTTTGCTGCATTCACAGACCTGCCTGCTGCAGGTAGGGGGTGGGCTGTGTTATCTTCCTTTCTCTGGGGGAGCTGAGGGTGATGGTTTAGAGATGAGTGTGGGGAGTGACAGGACACTTGTTTGAGGGTTGGGCCAAGGAGTCCCCCATACTCAGGCTGTTGCCACCACTGGCTGCAGGACGGGGAGTGAGCCTGGTGATTCTGTTACAAACAGATGTGGCTTGACCCCCTGGACTTTGGCTGGGGTGAGGAGTGGTACGTTGGAGGGTGTTAAGCTGGGGACTGATGTCATCTTATTTATCTTCAGAAAGACCATGTGGCTGTTGTATGGGGAGCTGGTCAGGCAGGTGCTGATGTGGAGGCTGGGAGCCTGGCAAGGAGGCTCCTCTATGGTCCTGGTGAGGAACAAGGAGAGATGGGGAGGCAGGGGAGCTGCTGAGAAGGGCTCAGACCTGGGATGTATTTTGACAGTAGACTTGTAGGTGGTTTGAGTGTGGGGAATGAGTGATGAAGGAATCAATGATGACCGTTGGGGTTTTGTCCTGAGTGCCAGGGTGGGTGGAGGAAGGTTTTTGAGGAGAAAAGTTGATGAGCGTTCTCTTGGGCCTTGTTAAGTCTGGGATGCCTACCAGACATGCATGTGAGATGTGGAGTTGGCAAACCCAGATAGATCTGGCCTTGAATCTGGCTTCTGCCTTTACTAAGTGTGTTCACTTTGGGCAAGTTGTTCAACCACTCTGACCCTCCCATCATCCTCCATCCTCCCTCCCTCGGTGCTTGTGAGGCTTACGGGTGGCATTTGTGAAGTGCCTGATCCGTTGCCCAGTTTCCGCTACATCATGAGTACCCAACAGAGGATACCTTGGGGCTTCCTAAAACTTGGCTTATATCATCCCATTTTCTAGCTCAGGAACATTCAATGGCTGCCTGTTATACAGAGCAGAGCCTGGAACTTGTATCTTATACGCTGATTTGGCTCATAGATGTATTTTGTTTGGTCCACGTAGTGATTTTTAAGAATTTTAATTGATGATCAACGTATAAGAATTGGGAGAGTCCACATACAAATTTGGATTTCTGGCTTATCTTGAGAAGTTTAAAACCCCGTACCACTGAGCTTGTATTTCTGCTTGCAGCCTGGCTAGAGATAAGCAGTAGCTGCCTGTTTTGAAAGGGGAGTGGGCTCTTTAGTTTACCATTGTTTCACTTCCCCACTCTTCTTTTTGTTGAGGTAAAATTTACATAACATAAAATTAGTCATTTCCAAGTGAACAATTCAGTGGCATTTAGTACATTCACAGTGTTGTGCAACCACCATCTCTATCTAGTTCTAAAATATTTTCATTACCCCTGGGTAGGACCCCATGAGGCAGTTACTTTTCGTTCTCCCTCCTTCCAGCCCCTGGCAACCACTAATCTGGTTTCTGTCTCTATGGATTTACCTGTTCTGGATGTTTCACAGAAATGGAAACATACTATATGTAACCTTTTGTATCTGGTATCTTTCATTTAAGCATAATGTTAAATATGCTTATAATACATATTTGCATATATGCATAATATGCATAATGAGGTTCATTCACGTTTTAGCAGGTACCCATACTTCATTCCTTTTTATGGCTGAATGGTATTCCATTGTATGGATACACCACAAGTTTATCCATCCATCTGTTGGTTGACATTCGGGTTGTTTCCATCTTTTGGTAGTAATGCTGCTATTCAGTGTACAAGTGAACAACATTCATATACAAGTATTTGTTAGAGCCCCTGTTTTCAGTTCTTTTGGGTCTCTACCTAGGAGTGGAATTGCTCGGTCATATGGTAGCTCCATGTTTAACTTCCTGAGGAACTGCGAAATTGTTTTCCGCAGAAGCTGTACCATTTTACATTCCCACCAGCAATGTATGAGGGTTCCAATTTTTCCACTTGCTTGCCAACACCTGTTTGCTGTTTTTTGCTTATAGCCATTCTAGTGGAATGAAGTGGTATTTCATGTGGTTTTAATTTGTATTTCCCTAATGACTAACGATGTTGAACATCTTTTCATGTGCTTATTGTCCATTTGTGTATCTTCTTTGGAGAAATGTCTATTCAAGTCTTTTGCCCATTTTAAAATGTGTTGTTTGTATTTTTGCTATAAGAGTTCTTTATATGTTCTGGATACTGGACTCTTATCAGATGTATGATTTGCGAATATTTTCTCCCATTCTGTTGGTTGTCTTTTTACTTTCTTAATAATGTCCACTGAAGAAGAAAAGTTTAAAATTTTGATGAAGTCGAATTTATCTATGTTTTCTTTGTTTCTTATGGTGTCATATCTAAGAATCTACTGCCAATTTTAAGGTCATGAAGATTTATCCCTATGTTGTCTTCTAAGAGTTTTATGGTTTAGCTCTTAGGTTTAGGTTGTTGCCTGATTTTTTTTTTTATTTTTTAAAGATTTTATTTTTCCTTTTTCTCCCCAAAGCCCCTCAGTACATAGTTGTATATTCTTCGTTGTGGGTCCTTCTAGTTGTGGCATGTGGGACGCTGCCTCAGCGTGGTTTGATGAGCAGTGCCATGTCCGCGCCCAGGATTTGAACCAACGAAACACTGGGCCGCCTGCAGCGGAGCGCGCGAACTTAACCACACGGCCACGGGGCCAGCCCCAGGTTGTTGCCTGATTTTAAGATAATTTTCGTATATGTGCAAGGTGTAGGGGGTCCAACTTCATTCTTTTGCATGTGGGTATCCAGTTTTTCCAGCCCATTTGTTGAAAAGACTATTCTTTCCCCATTGATTAGTCTTGGCATCCTGGTCAAAAATTAGTTAGCCATAAATGTATGGGTTTATTTCTGGACTCTAAATTCTATCCCATTGGTCTATATGTCTCTCTTGTTGCCAGTACCACACTGTTTTGATCACTGTAGCTTTGTACTAAGTTTTGAAATTGGGAACTGTGACTTCTTTTTCAAGAAGATTTTGGCTATTCTGGGTCCCTTGAGTTTCCATATCACCTTTAGGATTAGATTTTCAATTTCTGCAAAGAATCCGGCTGGGGTTCTGACGGGGATTACACTGAATCTGTAGATGGCTCTAGGCAATGTGGCCGTCTTAATGTTAAGTCTTCCAACCCATGAGCAAGGGACATCAGACCATTTATTTAGGTCTTCTTTAATTTCTTTGATCAGTGTTGTGTAGTTTTCAGTGTACAAGTCTTTCGCCTCCTTTGTTAAATTATTCTAGGTTTTCTTTTCTTTGATCCTATTGCAAATGTAATTTTTTTTGAGATTGTTTTCTTAATTTTCTTTTCAGATTGAAACACCACTGATTTTTGTGTGTTGATCCTGTACTCTACAATTTGCTGACTTCCTTTATTAGCTCTAGTCGTTTCTTTGTGGATTCTTTCGAGTTTTCTATATTGGATCATAAAATCTGCAAATAGAGATAGTTTTACTTCTTCCTTTCTAATTTGGATGCCTTTTATTTCTTTCTCTCGCCTAATTGCTCTGCCTAGAACTTTCAGTACACTGAATAGTGGTGGTGAAAGTGGACATCTTTGTTTTGTTCCTGGTCTTAGGGGGAAAGCTTTCAGTATCATTGAGCATGATGTTAGCTATGGATTTTTAAATTTATTTTATTTTATTTTATTTTTTTTGGTGAGGAAGATTGGCCTGAGCTAAAATCGGTTTCCAATCTTCCCTTTTTGCTTGAGGAAGATTGTCCCTGAGCTAACATTTGTGGCAATCTTCCTCTATTTTGTATTTTGTATGTGGGATGCTGCCACAGCATGGCTTGATGAGCAGTGTGTAGGTCTGTGCCCAGGATCTGAAACCACAATCTGCGCTGCCGAAGCAGAGCATACAGACTTAACCACTATGCCATGAGGCCAGCCCCAGCTGTGGATTTTTTTTTTCTCCAAAAAGCACTTTATCATGTTGAGGAAGTTCTTTTCTATTCCTAGTTTTCTGAGTGTTTTTATCATGGAAGGGTATTGCATTTTGTCAGGTGCTTTTTCTGCAACAGTTGAAATGATCGTATGGGTTTTTTTTTTTTCCTAGTAATATGATGTATTACATTGGTTGATTTTCTTATGTTGAACCAAACTTGTTTTTCTGGGATAAATCCCCCTCTGGCCATGGTGTATAACATGCTGTTGGATTCAGTTTGGTAGTATTTTGTTGAGGATTTTTGCATCTATATCCATCAGGGAGGGGGTCTGTCATTTTCTTTCCTTCTAGTTTCTTTGCATGGTTTTGGT